GAGGAGCAGCTGGGGGTATTCGGTACCACGGCGTTGTGGCGCTGCCCGCTTTGCTTCAGAGCTGCGCCTCATGAGTCCGTGTGCCAGGAATTGCGCAGATACATGTCTATAATCCCACCAGCCCCAGCTAAAGGGGTTGCTGCCGTTGGAGTGGAGGCTACGAAGGCAGCTTGCAGTGAATTGTGAGTGTTCAGGCAGTCACGTCGAGTGGTGGAGTGGAACGGCCCACGGCGTTGTGGCGCTGCCCGCTTTGCTTCAGAGCTGCGCCTCATGAGTCCGTGTGCCAGGAATTGCGCAGATACATGTCTATAATCCCACCAGCCCCAGCTAAAGGGGTTGCTGCCGTTGGAGTGGAGGCTACGAAGGCAGCTTGCAGTGAATTGTGAGTGTTCAGGCAGTCACGTCGAGTGGTGGAGTGGAACGGCAGCTGTGAAACACTTAGCTGGCATAACCACCTTCCCCTTGTCTATGGTTACTTGTTCCCGCACGTTTCCACCCCGTCCTGCTGCCTCCATGGGTGTTTGGGTGGCCACATGGCAAACCTGTTTGGGGAAGTGCTCTGTGTGAGGAATAGTTACTTTAAACATTCAGCTGGGTTTTCAGCAAGATCAGTGCATCCTACGGTGTCCCAGCACTTGTGCTGGGATTACCAAGGGCTATGCTGAGCAAGAGCAAGCAGCAGGGGGTTGGCAGGCGGATGGGACTGTTCATCTCAGAAATGATGCTCGGTGAGGTGTTTTACACTATGGTTTGGCCTGGCCGCTTTCCGGAGCCATTGTGATGGTGTTACGTGCAAGCATGACGCTTCAGTCAATTCCCGGGCTTTTGCTACATAGAATTTTTCATGATGTAAATTACAGTCAGAAGTTAGTAAAATACTCATGTTTCTCATGACTGCTTTAATCACTCTTTTTTGATTGGTGCCGCCCATGAGAGAATTGCAAAACTGGACATTAATGGCGTCGTTATTATATTTTAAAGACAACAAAATATATAGTATGTTTAATTTGGAGTGTGCCAATTTACAATGCAAAGAGACGTTTTATAAAGTGTGGGGATTTTAACGTATCAGACTGTCAGAGCTCTGTGTCTTTGAGACGCTGATTTCAATGAGCTTTGTAGATACAATGATCCGTGTAGACAGAGGATGTAAAAAAGAGATTTGCATATTAATGCAAATTTGGACCACGGGCTCTAAAAGCCCAACGCAAGATACCTGCAAGAAGAGGATGGTGAGGGCAAGTTTATTTTCCTTGAACTGTTAGTGTTTATATCTGATATTATTAAAGTGCCTAGTGTATTGGTATTCCTAGTAGACTAGTGTATATGAAATTAAATTTCAATTTGTTGATTTTCTATCTTTTTTTTTTTCCTAAAGTGAGCATAGGGAAAAACTAACTGGTGGTATTATAATGTGACATAATCCAGTTATAATGACAGTAGAAAGTTTAATGCCTCCACCGAGTTTAGAAGTATATTGGAGATTTAAAATTTCTGGCTGTTTTTGAAATATGCCGTAGCTGCGGTTTTGGAGATAGTCTTGTACATCTTAGTAAATTATTTTCCTGCTATGCATAATTATTTTTTCTGCTAAAAATTCACATGTAATCTCTTTCTATGTAAAATAACTGCTTTTAATGTTTCCCAAGTAATTTAGTTAACTTTAAAGGGCATGCATATAAAAGCATCTGAGTTGGTATGTGCAGAAGAATAATAGTTACCATAATTGTTGCGTAATTGAGCTTGTCTTCATGCCAGCGTCAGCCCAAATTAGAAGGAAAATACTCACGTAGCAAACCAGCACTGAAGTATTTGGAGAGTTACCGCATACAGCAGCCGAGCAATTGCCAGCTCCAGCATTAGCAACTGTGGTTCTTTACCCAACACTTTCGGCTTGTGTTTAAAGAGCACCTTAGTTTATGGTAGGAACTTTCACGTGTGGCCAGGCAGGAACAATGTTCATTTGTGTTTGGTATTAGGTCAAGATATAAGGAAAACAGTGCTGTTAAATCAGGGATATCGGCCATTCTCGCAGTTTGGAGAAAATAGGATGAAAAATTGTATCCAAAGATGTTGGGAAAGTTAAAATGGAAGGCTTGCTGTTTTGGCAGAACACGTACAAGGCCTCTCTTGAGGGTCAGTATAAGGAGACTGTGCTAGATTTCATGGTGGTAATAATTCCCGTTTGTGAAGAAATTTGATGGAGAACTCTTTCAGGACATAGTGATGACTGTGAGTGGGAGGCAAATGCATACAAGCAGACTCAGAGGAATTGGGAGTACAAGTATCCTACCTGCTATCTTTGGATCTTCAGGGAGTTTTGATTCTGAATGGTGAAAAAGTGGTGGAGATGTTTGGGTTCAAGATTTTGAATCTTTAATTTTTTTTTTTTCTAGTTCTTCCTAAGATAATTTGTGTTTATATAGCCTTTATTGTTCTGGAAGCTCCCTTGCTGTGTGCAGTGTTTTCATACAAATGTCAGAATATCTCAGATGTTTTAGGACTACGTTTTCAGTAGGTTTCGGAGGTAAAATGAACCTGTACAGTTGCTCATTGGTTCCAGAACTGAATCTCCTTGACCACAGCTTGGTGCAACACTGCGCTGAAAGGGACTGTTTTTTCTCCGCTTGGGGAAGAGAGGGAGGAGGGAATTCCTGTCTCCAAGCACCAGCTATGCTGTAACTGGGGCAACGAATCTGAGGACTGAAAGACAGAGAAATTCATTAAGCTGGAACAGGCAGAGGGACTGGTAACAAGGGCGTCTGCAGGTAGTACCTGCCCTTACCTTGCTCACTCATGCACTCTGTGCATGTGTAAGGCATGCTAGCCATCTCTCTCTTTCTCTTTTCCCATTCCTTTTGACGTGTGCTTATTCCTCATGGTAATTAATGCGTGGGTTTGTCTGCTGTAAACCACAATTAAGGGCCCAGAGGCCCTGGGACATTAGAAGAGAACAGGCAGTGCGAAGGAACCTGGTTTTGGAGAAAGTGGAAAGAGCAGGGTGGAAAAAATCATGCTTGAAAGACGTCTGGAGAGAGTTAGAAAGATTAAGGTGAAAAGTGAGCTTGAAGAGGAATGGAGAAAAAGAGAGCATGTGGTTTGGAGGGGAAGAAAGCTTAGTGTTGTAAACAAGGAAGAAGGGAGCTGGGGGAGAGATTTTTCTTCTTCCTGGCAGTTGGGATAGGAAGCTGACTGTTTTGACACCTTGTGTAGTACCTGAAATGAGTCTCTCATTCTTTTCCAGTGCAGGTAAGGACAAGGATGCTTATATTGAGGGGGAAGACCAAAAACTTCTAAGCAAACAAAAACCAAAGCAAAATGAAGCCAACACAGAGCCCGAGGCTTCTGAGGGTAAGTTCTTTCTGCAGTGACTGTGAAAGATCGGTAACTTTTTCAAAACTTCAGATGGGTAGTGGTTTGACATTGGAAGAACTCTTATTTGAAGACACTCGTTCCTGTTGAATGTTCTTTGGACTTAAGCCTTTATAATATACTACTTATTAAGAATTCCTTTGCTCAAGTATTTAACTTTTTGAAAGGCTAGGTGGCATATAAGCAAGAGTTGCTTTAGAATGAACAATGGCTTTCTTAATAACTCTTGTACCTTTAAGAATGAACAAAACTCCTAATAAACTGCATAGTTTATTCATTTTTAAAGTACCCTAAGGCCCAATCCTTCAGTCATTAATCAAGAACAATTCATGCTGTCTTTAGTGAAATATGCCTGGCAGTGATAATGTCTTGATTTCTGTGTGTCTGTGTGCAGGCACGCTGGGGAATACCAAGCAGGTAAATCAGATCAGTCCTTTCTCAAATTTTATTTCTAAATGGGCTCAACTTTGATATTGAGGAGGGCACAATTTTGTCTCCTGGAAAACCGGGTTCGGGCAGCCTGGTTTTCCAGCCATATATCAGAAAGCAATAACCACTTGCTAAAAATGTATTTAAAATTATGTAAAAAATTATTATACATTATTCCAACATAATTGTATTGGGTAATAACTTCCTCTTTCATGGTGATTTAATTCACTGGTGTTCAGATACTACACACTTCCACCTCCTTTTTCCGATAGTGTCGCTATGTATTTGGGAATTTGTTCCTCGTGAATCTCCTGAACAAACTTGATTTAGGAAACTCAGAGCAGACTAGGGGTGAGGTTTTGTCCTATACTAAGGAAAGTTGCCATTCAAAAACATCTTAAAAAACTGAAGCTAAATAATTCTGAGAAAATATCCTTAGAGAACTTTCTATGGAGTCTTGGAAGGCCACCTCCAAGTATTGTCACGTTGAGGAGGTAGAACATAGTCCTAAAACATACTAGGTATTCTGACATTTGTATTAAAACACTTTGCAGAGTCCTTATGAGCAATCTGTTCTTCCAGTGGCATCCTGGCAACATAGCTTCTTCTGGAACTGCGTCATTATAGACATGAAAAAATCTAGTGTTTTTTTTCTTCCCAGTAATGCCGTTCACACAACTTGGACGGTTTCACTGTCAATTTAGCAGTCTGGTAGACTTTAATATTTTAATATCCAGTGTTTATACCATTACAAACTCCACACCACATGTAGAATTTTTAGTATAACAAAAAATATTTAAAACAATTTGAATTGTTTTCAGTGATATAAAAATGTTAGTTTTGGTTTTGTTTTTTTTTTTCATCTGACATTTATTGGTGATTAGAAACTTTATCAAATGACTACAAAGAACAGTGCAATCTGAAAACTTGTTTTGCTGAGGAACCCACTCCACAGAATGTCCATTTCCTTAAAATTAGAAAAGTTGCAATACGTCATTTTCAGTGAAAACTGAAAGTCTCTGTTCTTTCTGAATGAATCTTTTTCAAAACAGTGTATTTCATAAATGTCTCTGAAGTTGTTTTTCATTTCTCTCTAGTCACAAAACGATTCTGTAAGTAACATGAGTCATGCAAAACGGTTACCGGAGTTACCGCCCCTACCTGCTTCTGCTTCAGCTGCACCTTCAGAATTGTATCAGGTATGTGCTCTCTTCCCTTGTGTCAGGGTATACAGTAAATTACATGTCCTAGTATGATTTTAGGCATCATATATTACCAGGCCTTAGGCAGATGAAGTAAAATTAGGAAAAACTATTTAAATTACTAAATTAAAGTACTAAGCAGATTGTCAGGTACTTCGTTAGAGCTGCTCTTATTTAGAAAAGTGTTACAACTTATATTATGATTTGGATATTAAACCTTGGCAGCTTAAATCTGTTCTTTAAGTTTATAGTTAATTATTTGCTGTTAAATTTTGGATCAAATATTTTGAGTTTAAGTTTCTGGGGAAGGAAGCAAATAGTAAAAATATTTTTCTTCCAAACAAATTATGATTTCCCCCTCCCCCTCAATACTTTATGGCAGAGCACCAAAAAAAAAAAGTTATACTGCTGTTCCAAAACCAGCTGAGAGCTTGACAGGTGCAGCATTGATCAGAATGGATAGCTTGTGCAGCTGCACAACTACAACCTATGCTGTGTGACACAAATTAAAATTACGTATGACAGCACTTGGGGGCAGGAAGAAGAGAGGGCTGGCTTTCCCCACCATAAGTGCCTCACAGTTGCTCATTTGGCTCATTTGCGTCAGCACTTCACTTCACCTAAGATGTTTTTCTTTAGAAAGATACTGTTCGTGAATAATTTGAAGTAGTTTCTGATGGAAAATGGGTTATTTTGGACTTCGTTTGAAAATAGGAAATTTTAAGTGAAATGTACTCTAAAATAACGGTAAAAAAATCTTCATTGAAGATTTACATAAAAATCTTTTATTTTCATCCAAAAATCTATCGGATTTCTGGGGATGTGTTAAGGGTTTGTGTAAGATATGGGAGCTGATTTAGCCAGTCCTGAAATTTTTGTGTTGCATAAGCAGTAGATTTTTGCTAGGTGACTGACTTTCTTCTCCGGAAACAGCTGTTCCTCTCTGACCAACTTTTTTCCCAAGAGGTTCCCCATTAGCAAGGGACCTATTCTACACCCAGAAGGTTGTTCTACCTAGTGGGGAAGAAAGAATATAGTTTACAAAGCAGGCCTAATTAAGAGAGAAGATGAGAAATCAGAGTTTATGCTGACTTCAGAGTGACTTTCTGGAGAAAATCTCCAAATCTGAATTATTTTTAATTCTTGTATCAGTTTGTCCACCAAAACTGTAATTCAGGGCCCCACCCACCTGTCTGGTGCATGCGGTGGAAGAAACTGAACTGAAAAGATTCTGTGAACTTTCAGAAGCTAATTTAAGGAGTATGATTGCAGCAGTAGTGTGAATGCCTTTTTCTTTGCTGATAAGATTAGCCCTGTCAATCAGAAGAAAAATGCAAGGCAGATGTAATAATCTTGCCTTAGCCTGTAGTTCAGATTGACAGACTGTATTGTTGTTCTCACTAAAGCTCATGATAGACAAAAAAAAAAAAATTCATAGCTGCATCTATAGGTTAAATGAAAAGAAGCTGTTTTATGCTTTAGAATGTTGGTCATAAAATGCTGGGAAGACGAGCTTAACTGCAACTCCTAAGGAAAAGGCAAGAGAAATGAGGGAACCAAAGATGGGATGTCATGAACGTATTTAGAAGCATTTTTAAGAATGATCTAAAACTGGTGACGGTAATGCTGCATTGTAAGGAGGAGGAAATGGGTAATAGGCATATGGTTGTGTTACTCCAATGAAGCAAAAAATCATTAAACAAGAAGTAATACAAAAACAAGCTAAATATGAACTTAGACTGAGAGCTTTAGGAACCATGGTATGAAGTGCATTCATGATTCTATCTTATGTATGTTTTCTCTCTGAGGGTATCTTGATAAGAAACATACTTCTCGATCCCACATCCCTTATGTCTGTGAGCTATCTCATTAAAGTTTAGACATCAGCACTGATGACAAGCCAATCAATAAATACCAAGCCACCTGAGAAAACATGGAATGAACAGACAGAAGAAATCTATTACAAATCGTGTATTGATGTGGGAGAGAGAGAAAGATGAGTGCTGAATTTGTTAAACTTGTATTATTGCTCAACTGTTACAAGGATTGAGTTTTAAAAGTAGACAGGTCATTAACAAAGGCTTGAGGAATAAGAATTTTCTAAATTTAAGCAAATGTAAGGAGAAGAAAAGCAAGATGGAGATGCGGGGGAGTAGAGAGTACTAGATAATGTACTATACCTTCTCTTATTTATAAAAAAGACCTTGATTATGCAAAAAAATGCACTAGTACTCCTACTGAAGCATTGTGTAAAATTATTCTTGTACATGTGTGGAACATCAGGATCTAAAAATAGATTGGTGGTCAAATGACTCCAAGTCAGACTTACGTATTTGCTCTTTATACTAATTGATCTTTAACCCTGTTGTAACTCTAAGATGACTCTTTAAATTACTGTGCTGTGTAAAACTATTGCTTTTTTTTTCCAATTTCAGCTTGTCCTTAAAAGCAGCTGTTATCCTCCTTTGATGCAACAAGCATCATGGACTTTGGCAGCTCCATTCAAAGAACAGAGTTACTACAGAAGCCCAAGTGACTCCATAGCTAATAACTATACTCCTACTGCACGGGATTTAAAATTGAAAAATGTGCACAAATTAAAGACTTCTTCAATGACAGGGACATCACTGGGTTCAGCAAAAAAAAGAGAACAGCCTCACCGTGTATCCATATTTGAATGTGTTTATAAATTCAGCCTTGCTTGTTCTATACATTTTTATCTCTGCTTATCGGTTAGAGCGTCATCCCTGGAAAAATCACTTATCCCACATAAACACTTACAAGCTTATCACCTCAGGGTCAGTACAGACAAATTTCCAAAAGCATGCATAACTTTAACAAAGGTAAGGCCAGTTTCTGATTAATTAGTTAGGTTCATCCCTCCAAATCATCGCATGCAATTACTTGGAGGGAATTGTTTGCAAAGCAGAAAATGAACAAAATACAAGTTAGCTCTTATTATTGCTAGAAATAAGAGTTAGTATCAACAGGAAAACAGAAACAAATTCAATGTGCACCCCTGTTATGCTCATATTCATGAGTCTTGCATAGCAAAACAAGATGGGGGACAGGCATTAAAATCTTTACTTGAGGATCAAATCCAAGAAATGTTGCTTAATACACTGTTTACATCTAAGCCATGTAATTGATTTATTTGTTAGTAAACTGTGCATACATATGTAAATCCTGCAATATGACATATTATATGGTGTTGATTCAACATGACATTGTGATACAAAGCAAATAAGGTTAAGAGTTGTAATACTCTTGCTATTTAAGTTTACCGATATGTATGTATCAAATATTTTATGAAAACAAGTTGTTTAGGCATCTTACCAGTTGCAGGTGTCAAATTAACTCCATTACTTAGTCTGAAAATTCCAAAGTAAGTTATTATTTATTTCCTAATTATCAAGTTAAATGTTCTCTGTATCAAGGGTGACACATTCATAAACCATGGTTTCCTACATACTGTCAGGCTGTCTGTGAATATACTCATCCTGCATTGTTGCTTTGCTTCCCTGAAGTGTTAGAAATTGTTTCGTTTCCCTGGGATAGATGAGACATAACAGCTTCAATATCTGCTTAGTCCCCTTGTACGCTATTTAAGAAGGGTTTGGTTTTGTTCATTGGGTCTCTTTAACAGGTTCTTTGTCATACACCTGATTCTTCTACTCTATGTACTTCTCCAGTACATGGGTGGTATGTAGGAAGTAGGTCATGGTACTTTTCTTGGTGAAAAGGCATGATGTATTAATTTTGTTAAAAGACCTGTTTATTTGTACTCTGAAAAGCACATGGTAATAGTTTGTACTTCTCAGATTTTTCATGTGCAGTATATTTGGTGGAACTATACATCTTATAGAAGTGCTTTTGTATTCAAAATAGAAAGTCACAGTGCAGAAAATATGGTTTGTGCAGGGAGGTAAGTAGGCACTGTCGTCTTAAGCATGAGCTGAATGCTTTCCTGAAGTTAGTTTATAGTCCCACAATCAGCAAGATTATTTAACACATGATTTTAATGTCATGCTAAATGCTAAGTCAAAACGAAAGGCTTTTTTGTGACATTGTAGTGTTCTGTTATCTCATTATCTAATTAATTCACTTAGCTCTGTTTTTCACCAATCTGAAATAATATCTTATTTGAAAAATATTCCTGTATGTGATTTTCTTAACTGGTGCTTAAAGCTTCAAAAGAATTTGATCCTTCTAGAAAAAAGCTCAAACGTACACAAAGAAGTCAGTGGGATTCTGATAGGTAATGTACTGTAACGTTATAAAGATACAGATTATTACAATCAGTCTAGATATCTGAGTTGTGATTTAATATTGAAATGTTAAGTCTCTACAAAAAAAATGTATGTGCGTCAAGACTGAAATTCCATGGTGTGCTAAGTGAGCACCTTTAACTGCTTCTTTGTGGCAGGACAAATTTCCGTCTTAGGCATGCTAAATGAAAGGTCTTCCTTTCATGATTACTGACTTGAGAACGCAGAGTTTAGTTAATAGAGATGCAGACTGTAGAAATGAAGTCTCTCAGTCTTGCTGTGAGTGTTTAAATGCTCTGTAATTCTCCTATAGTTATGTCAAATTGGGTGCTCCGCTGTAGTGAATATTTCTTTTTATCTTCTTTGTGCTTGTGTTCTTCATCTGTAAAACAAGGAAATAGTTCTCTCTAGAAGTGCTGTGACAGTAACTTTTTTACTCCTTGTTAAGATAACATGGTGATGAGTACCATAAAAAAGACAAAAGGGATATTTAAATTCTCTTCAGCTAAGGACTTGATAATGTGAAGTAAATCAAGTATGGAGTGACAGCTTCTTGGCTGAGTGCTAGTAGGTCTGGCTCTGATAGAATTGCTTATAAGATACTGCCCTTCTGAGTGATACTGTGCAGTTGTAAGGTTTACATGATTGTATTCTTTCTGTTAGAGTAGTATGTTATGTTATACAATTTTACCAAAGTTTTTTAATGAGTAATTGAAATACTTCGTAGGTCATACTTGTTCTCTGTGCAGTATAAGTGGTTTATGTAATGCTTGTCATTTGTCCATATTGATTTAAGAATCCATTACTTCTTCTTTATTCACTAAACTTGCATTCTTTTCAGAAGCACACCAACTTTGTTGAACAGTTGGGATCCCATTTCACTGTGTGCACTTGCTCATATGCCAGAATTACGTGTCATACACTATACAGACAACCAACCATTGACCCCAGAAGAACAATTTGTTGTCATGCACTTACATGAGAAGGAGATAAGTAAGCGAGAAAAGCCACCTTCAAAAAACGATATAGAGGTATTTATATAATTTTTTTTTTAAGTTAAAAGTAGCAGCAGTAATCATCTGCAATATGTCTGTAAACTGTTTACTTAAAAGTAGTTGAGAAAAGAAGGCAGTACATGAGGTTTAGAAGATGTAAATATTCAATATAGCAAACTACTGTTAAATATTGTCAACTCCTTTCCCATTTGTTTCTCTTTCTTGCTATTCAGTCTGATTTTCATTCTAATGGATTTGCAAGTAGAGTTATCTTCCCAAATTCTTAACCTCTCACATTATTGGCTAGTACCTCAGAGATCAGTAATTTAATATGCTACACTCAGTTCTATTGGTATATATGCTTACATCAAAACAGATGGAAGTATTGTAAATATGTCAGGCATTGGCAGTGCTTTAAAAAGAACCGAGAGATAGATAGCCAAAATCCATTATATTCAAACACCTTTCAATTGCGGAAAAGGTTCAAGTGATAGAAAAGCTAAAAATATTTTGTAGTAATTCATTATCTGTCAGAAAATTCATACAATAAGCGTAATATTTTTAACATTATTTTATAGCGGTACTGTTACTACATATATAATGGAGTGCAGGAAGACATGCTGGCACCTCAGGATAAGGAAGTGATGAATGTAATTTTAAAGCATATTCCAACTCACATTCTTGCTAACCCCAACCTGGAGAATTTACTTGCAAGTTTAAAAGAAGAGATTCAGGCAGACTATCGTATCAGCCTCATGAAAGCCATTGGTAAGACTCAAAATCTCTTAGCAATTCAGAGTATGTAGACATTTATTGCGCTTTGAAAGCAAGTCTGCATTCTATTCTTAGCACCCATGGATAATTCCTTTGGCATCAGTAGAACTGCAATAGATATCTGAGAGAATATAATCTGTGATCATGCTACATAACGTTCCAGTTTCAACAAATACCTATTTACTAAACCCTACATTCCATCACTTAAATATAGTCATTTCCAAGTTCAGTAGCTCTGGGTGTGTAGAATAATTTTGTCCATACTTACACAATTTTCCATTCCTATTCAAATCCAAATCACATTCAAAATGCATAATTCTGCATCATCTCATCAGATGGATAAAGAGGGGGTTGATCAAATGATGGTGGACAAGAAGTAATCATCTTAATTTGTAGCAAAAGAAATTGGATAAGAAATTAGAAAGACATTGTGACTATAAAGATCGTGAAGCGCTGCAGCAGGTTATTCATTGATGAATGTGCTCTGATTTATTGATGAATGATGCTTTGAAGTGCATGATAGACAAGTATCTCTTGAGCAGTCAAAGTATATTTGATCCTGATGTGGGGAGAGGGTAAACTAGGCTATTTTAACAGATATTTCCCAGACTAACTGTTTTGTTATTCTGCAGTAAGTCAGTGATACCCATTAACAGCCAAATTCATCTGTCTCATAACTCCAGTGGACATTCCAGGTGTTACACTGGGATCATGTCACAGGGTCAAAGAATTTCATTTAAGACATTACAGGATTAAGGAAAATTAGATTATATGTAAATGTGCATGATTACACTGCTCATGTCCAACAAATACAAGATCATCATATATAAATAAACACAAAAGAATTTCATAATCATTGAAATTCAGTAATGCCCATCTGAAAGTGAATGTGAAAGAGACAGTTCTGTAGAACATGAGATCTTTTTTTAATTTGCTTTTCAGTAGTCTTACAGTTTTCTTGGGTTTTCCACATGTGAAATAATTCCTTTCAATTTTCTTAAATGTGTTGACCAGTAAGGAAGCGTGGCCTCTCATTCATGACAGCATTTTCACTCTGCCTTCTATAGTCTCTGATATCTTTCCAAGTACCCTTTAATTTGCCTTTTATCGATGTCACAATTTTAGTATTTGCAGTCCCTTTTTGTGGTAATGCTGATGTCAACAAGGGGTAGTGCGCCTGCTTCCTAGCTTTCGTTAATCTCATATGTAATGGGCCATTGGTCAGAACTGGTAGCACATGAGTTTTGGCATTTAGCAGATCGTAGATCAGCCCTCATATCCTTCCTAGATATAACAGATGATTCATAAGATTTCTGTGTTTCACAAACGTTTAAGAAGCCTTTTAAAAATTATCCTTGAAAGGGAGATATTTCCACCCCTGGTTTATGGACGAGGAATTGAAGCACGAAATAAATGTGCTTCAACTGGAAAGATAGAATGAAAAGCTGTTTCTCCTGCCTCCCACTTTTAGAACCAGGACCAATTCTTGTTTTCTTTTTCTGAAATAATTTTATAGTCAAATTGGTAATTTGATTATTGTGCTGTATTTCATCCTAAAAACATGCAAGTAACTCTATGACAGTGTATAAGTTTTAAATGTGCAGAATTCTATGACTTCCTGAACTATGGAGATACTGTGTTTTCATATGTAGGTTTTGACTATACATGCAGTCTCACCGTGATATATATAATTTGTTCTAGTTGATTACATCTTGATGGATCCAGCTGAGAGAGAGAGACTGTTTATTGGAAGTACCCCACGCCCTTTTCCCCAGAGAGTTGTCCGTGCACCAGTCCCATGGCACAGCTCTTACGAAGAAGTGAAAAGCTGGAATGAAAGAAATCTATTCATAGTGAATCCGTTGATGCCCACTTTGCAACAGCTCTGGCTTTCTCAGTAAGATGTTTCGTTCATAGGATCTTAATTAAATTGAGAATGTTTTTATTTTATGGATTGGTTAGAGAGTGCATCTGCTGACTTCTCTACATACGCTACAGAGATCCTGGGGGAGCCGGTAGAGAGAAAGTGGCAGAATCTGTTCTGTTTTCTAAAAAAATTTTTTTTCTGAGCCTGTAAGAGTTTCAACATAAAATGATTGTTTCCTGCAGACTGTGAATGCAAGCATGAACATGTTTTACACGACCACAGTGAAGAATGGATAACTGTGCTATGAAAAGATCATCCCCTTTGTTAGAAGATGTTATCCCTAAATTAAGATTCAATGCTCAAGTAAATAGTGATTTGGAATTCTCATCTTGATTCCTGAAATTAACAAAATTAACTCTTAATATTGAGTGTCTTTCCAATGTCTGTAGTTGGAAGTTGTTCTGGGGACTTTTGAAAATTGAGATATGTTTTCTTATGAAGTTAAATATGGTAGGTCGTAATCCTGAGAACTGTTTTTGAACTTAAGTAATGTTTGCAGGAATTTAAGCTTTTGTAAGTTACAGACTGTGATATACGCCATGCTGATGAAATTTTGTCTTTTTCCCACGGGGTAGCCAGGATAGATACTTATTACTATTAATACGGAATAGAAGCAGTAGGTGTCATTCTGTACGTTCTTTAGTGCCTGTATACACTAATGAATCTAGGAAAACGACAGGAAATTATTCTGACCATTTCAGCAAAAAATTAACGCAATTTTAAATATAACAGGTACAAAATTAAATTTCTGAAGCCTTTTATGTTTGCCAATAGCGGAAAAAACCCCAACCCATTACAAGTGCACTTGTTGGACAGCTTAGCAATGAAGTGATATGCATCAATGAAATTATATATGTTTATAAACACTAATAGTAGGAGACCTTCCTGACTGTATTTCATGGGTTTTTTTAAAACATAATTCCATAAAATATCTACTATTTGTTTTACTTCTGTAGGTATAGTCATCTAAGGTTTGTTCGCACTGAAGAAATGCTTTGTAGAGATCTGCCACTGTTGCCTACCGAATTTGAGGAGGTCATTCGAAGACACTGTGTGGAAGCTCGCAATATTCTTCAGAACAAGTCAGTGCCAACTGTAGTAACAGTAGATAAATAGAGTATCTTAGGGTCTAATTCACATGAAGCTCCCTTTTTAAAACAGATCTTAGACTGAGATGACACTAGTCCCAACCACAAGGCTGCCAAAACAGAGGGGAAAATAGCAGAGAGGGATAAAACATCTGGATGCTGAAAGAGCTATTGAAACTGCAAGAGTGCTTGCACAAGAGCAAATGGGAACAAACTGACTATGAATAAGTGTAGACTGGAAATTAGAAGGTTTCTAACCATGAGAGGAGTGGAGTCTAAATCTATAAAAATGGTGACAGAAAACCTGATTTTTTTAATTATGGAAATTGATCAATTTAAGGAAGAGATTATATGATGTAATAGCCCATGATATTAGGTGACTGCATTCTGCCCTCCTGAGATCTCTTCCAGACTCAAGTTTCCCACTTAATGCTAATAATTTAATATTGTCACTAGTATTTAGTCTATTAATATTAATTTAAACTAATAGTAATTATAAAAAGAATCCTTAGCTTAAAAACTCAGTTTTCCTCTAAGTCCTGGTAGGTACAGGATTTTTTTGACATCTAGTTAACAATTCTCTGCTAGCCCTTTGAATTTTGCTTATTCTTTGGCTAACTTGTGAGCTTAGGTTTCATTGCAAGGAGCAAAGTATGACTAATAAGCTTTTAAAAACGTTTTCTCCATATTATTTCATTGTAGGTGGATCCCAACTTGTGCCTGTATTTTCCTTGATCAAAAAAGGAAATGGCTTCATTTTGCTCCTGAAAATGACTGTGATTCCTCTCAGCAAGTTGAAAGCTATTTTCATTCGGTGGCAACTCTAATGTCATTACAGTTACGTGAGATGGTTGTTAACTCCTTAGAAGATCTTCTTGCATTTTTTATGATCCACAAGGTATATGCTGTGAAGTATATCTATAGTTTTCAGTGTTACACAGAGATAATAATTCGTATAGCCATAAAATGTAATGCTCTTTGAAGGCTAAAATATCCCAGATAGCTCCTGCCTCCATAAAAAATGGCCAGATCCTTCAAACAGTTGTGCATGCTCAGTGGGATTTTCTTTGCATGGTCAAGAACTGCTCATTTGAATAATCATTTTGCAGGCCTAGGGTTACAACTAGCAGTTTATAGGAGTTTTCAACTCTGTCTTGAATGAGTGTGCTTTTTTATTTTTTAATTTTTAGTTTTATTTTTCTTGGCCTTAACCAGGCAGAACACTTAAATGTGTTTTTCTGAAAGCATGTGAATAATCCCCTTTGAAGTCAAAAGTGTGCAGTCATGCATGCAATCCTTTGCAGACGTAATTTATGTATGTGGTGTCCCTGTCTATACCAAGTGAGTGCCCTGTATTATTTCATGTAATGCACATCATTATAATAAACATTACACCATGAGAGTTTTTACCACTGTTTTGGCTATGATAAAGTTGCCTTTCAGTGGAAATGAGTTCTTTAAGTATTAGGTCACCCAGGATCTACTGTGATGAGACGAAATGAAACATATTTAAACAGAATAAATGTGGCAGATTAAATACCGCATTGCAACCAGAGGATCACACCTAATAAAATATGCTGTCAAACTTACGCTAAGCCTTGCATGTGGGTGATGATGGTGTTGCTGATGGTTGGGGTTTTTTTTAGGTTTGTTTTGTCTTGTCGGTTGGTTTGGGTTTGGGTTTTGGTTTTGTGTGGGTTGGCTTTTTTTTTTTTTAAAATCATTATAGCATCTACATTATGAGTCTAGTCATGGATTAGGACTCCATTACTGTAAAGGCAATTTGGGGGCAGGGCAGTTCTTACTAACCATACAAGGCAATTAAAAAAACAGGATCTTGTATCTGATTTTAGATTTTATTTCTGAGAGGCATTATGGATATTTCTTTCAGAGTTTTTGTTCTGTACGGTAATTAGTGCTTTACTTCTGTTACTTAAGGGAAAATCAAGGCAATTAGGCTTAAATCCTGTTTCCTGATTCCAACTTTTATAGATTCATTTAGGAGTTGGCACCTTAAAATCTTGTGTACTGGGGCATCGGTATTTTGAATAAAATCAGGGACGAAGATCCCATTGGTGCTGTGTAGTTAAGAGATTTGGGGGAGTTTGTATCTTTTAAAAATTATTATAGTTATAGCTGATTTCTTTGGCATGTACAATTTTCATTCTTTTCCATTCCAAGGATGGAAGTGATTTTACAGAACCGTATCAAGAAATGCAGTTCTTTGTACCTCAAATACTAACAGTCAAACTCAGTGTGGAAGAACCTAAGATTGTCTTTGAGCCACCTTTGAAAGAATGTTGGGATTTAATCAATCATTGCTTCAGGGAGATCCTGCAAAGTGCTGAGGAACTTCCAAAGGTACTGGATAAGTTGTAGCTGCATACAAAATACAATATGAATAAAAACTGTCTATGATATAAAAAGTTATGAATGAGGCAGAAAACTGACAAATAGAAGATAAAGATGGGGGTTGTGTATCATGAACTGTGTGAACTTTTGTGATTATAGAAGACAGCATAGGAATTGTTCTTTGCAGATTCAAGTTATATTAAAGCCCTGGTTTGATTTTCATATAGTTTTCGCAAGCAAACTATGTGTGTAACCAAGTGTTAATTATGAATCAGAGTCTTTTCACTTTGCAGTGTTTTTACCAAATAATACATTTTTTTTGAAGTGGTCAGTGAATTGGTAATAGAATACCTTATTTCCTCTATTGTATGTGTTATTACATTATTTGCAATGGTTCCCTTTAGGTAGAAAGATTTCTATTTCCAGAATTAAAAAGAGATGATCTCACTCTCAGTACAGTCAAACCAGATGAATCATTGTTTTCAGAGTATGTGAACAAACTTGAAAAGAGCTTTGAGAGCAACATACTTGGTCCACAGAAGTAAGTTTCGGCTGTTAAACTCCATTGCCCATCCAAACCCTCAGATTTATAACACTATCCATTTAACTCAAACAAACAGTTTGAGTTGATTTGTTTCTTATTACAGAGAATCTTCACATTGGAATCCTATGTTTGTTTTTGTGATCTTCTTGTTTAAGGTATTTAAAGAGGTACAGGAAATACAGCAATCTCTTGAACAACAATGCACAGCAAGATGTCACAGATTTCTTGAAAGAAGGTCATACTTTAGAAGCTTTAACAGAGGTAATATGTAACTGACAACTGTTACATGTTCATGCAGCAGCTAACACATCATACTTGACTTCCTAATATGTTGCCTAAAGAACTCCCATTCAAATAATTTGTTTTACCCTTGGGAATACTAGGGAAGCCATCTCAATTTACATAGCCCCTTACTGTAGGGCTGCTGTGCAAGGAGGTTTCTTTATGGCCTTCTTCTATGGGTTTTGTTGGGTCTTAGTAGAAGTCCAGTGGAAGGCTGTGCCCAGAGTATTTGGTGAATCTGCATCTTGCTGGTCTTTTGACTGTCTTGTCCTTAGTCAGCCCTGTCTACTTTTCTCTCTGCATTCCTGAGTTAGCCTCTGGCTAAATACTTCTTTACCACAGCTTCGGTGGTGTTCCTTAGTGTGGCATATTACTGCGCAAAGCTTTCAGCCCTGGAATCTGTGGATAGGAGCTGAGCTCTGGAAAGATAGAAAATAGTTGTTCCGTCTTCTATTTGGAATATATTATACATTTGCTGGATGGGAACTAATTAGTTGTTGGTTAGTATTTTTAATCTATAGACTTTAAGGAAGAATAACAGATGTATTATTTTCCATTTGTAGAAGATTGACAGCTTAACAAAACTGAAAAGAGAGATTGCTTCCATGCCTGTCACTGTCCCTCTGGCCATGTTCTGTCTGGATGCTGTACAACTGAATGAGGAACTCTGCAATCGGACCCAAAATCTTAAAGATAGATTGATTGAATTTGAAGTGATGGAAAACAGAGAGTTAAATAAAAGGTACATGTTGTTAGTTAGCATGCATGGTTCTTGCTGTCTGTGTGGACTGATCCTGTGTATCTGTGGATGAGATAACTTTATTCATGTGCTAAGTTTTTCAGTGCTGACCAGACATGTGCAAGGACAACGAAGTGGGTATTTAAAATTAACAGGAACAGAAATACTTGTAAATAAATATCTAGATTAGTCTATATAGGGTGTACATAGGGATTGGACTGGAAATATGCCATTGTTCTTTCCTCCTTTACTGGCCTTCTAGGATTTGGTTTGAGGTTCCTGCTTCCCCTGCTGGTGTCCAGCTAAAGCAACATGAAGAATCTACTATGCAGCTCTGCATTTGTCTTGTCCCTCACTTTTTTCTTTTTTTTTTTTCCTCTTCC